AAAAAAAAAATTTAAAGACCAAATAAAGCTCGACAGTTTGTTTGGTAGGTATTGAATTTGGGCAAAGAGATCTCGATTTTTTTTTTAACTTTTCTTTTTTTCTGGTTACGAAAATTAAGTAGATAAAAAGCACGCATAATCTGTGCTCACTGTAGAAAAGGTGACACTGTCATTCCATTGGCGAGTGGTAAACCCAATTAACGACCTGTGTACTTCCTCTCAGTGTTGCTATATTAAAACATATAAAAGTAACAAATGCATTTTAATAAACATATGTGAATTGCATGGTGTGCTGCCTGATTTTTCTGACGTGCTTATCCATCTTATGGATTCATCAACTTAATCATTTGTGGGACATTGATGCTGCTTTCAATGTTTTTGCATTTTTTAATGCAAAATTCTCTCTCTGACAAGTTCTTTCTCTGTGGATATCCTTCTGTACTCAGAACAGACCGCCCAAAAGCTTCCCATGCTTTTCTAGCCCATGAAGGATATGTTACAATTAATGAGGCAATGGCTTGTTTTATACTGGTTTTATTTCACACAGGCTGGGATTACAAGGAACACCCTAGCCTTCACAGTGGCCCGTGTTGCGGACCATTGGCGACTGGTCTGTTACTTTTCTTGTTATAATGGAAGTTACAAACCTCCGATTCCTCTCCGTGTGTCTTAGCTTAATTCTTCTGCCCTTGTTCATCAAGTCGTAAGGTCGACTACATTTGAAAAATCAGGAGTAACATTTTACATTCTGAATCTTGTAGATCACCTCTGGCAAAACCGCCTCCAAAGCGCGGTAGTGTGGAGAAGGGTGCCACCTGGTGGCTGTGATCAAAAGTGTCACGGTGGTCATGTGACCGTTGAGAGCTGGGGCCCGGATTTGGGCGCAGGGCCCAGGATCCATGGAGAAGAGGTGGGCGCTTGACCCCGTGTGTGAAGAGCCCCTGAAAAATTGAGGAAATAAACTAGTCACCAGGTGTTTGCCCACAGGGCACCGTTGAGCTACCTGAACTGGGAACAGAACAGAAAAGGATCTTTGGTAATCTCTCAAGGCAACCTGCCGCAGCTGGTTAAGACCTGCTGGGAGGTCAAGGGCAAAAACTCTCGCTGTGTTTTAATAACATAGTCTTAGGGTGCTGGGAATACTTGATGCACTACAGAGCATTCTTCATGTACACACGGATACACGTTTAAAAACATAACAGCTATAAAATGCTGGAAAATTCTTACAAGTTAACATTTTAAAGCTATATATTTTTTCTAACCACCCTCTAGTAAGGACTAGAACCCAAGAATGCATGACTTTAAACATTTAGGATTTTCACATGTATGGACAGGTATTTCGAGGTTTTGATTTCCCTCTGTAGACCTTGGGTCATCATTGTTTTCATTTGTCTTTTGGAACCAGTGTTAACAGGCAGAATGTCAATTCAATATTAATTTTGGGGGGTGACAATTTCGTTGCAAAGCCTCCTTGACTTGACATCCTGTTGGTGTATATTGCTTGGCTTGGGTGCATCCTGGTATTTCTTGCATTCTCTTTCTGCGTGATTCTTTCCAGTGTTCACTTGTGCATGAGAGACACATACGGTGTCTTTTAAGCAGAACTTTCTTTTCTCTCAGCTAATAATTATTACATACCAACCAGACGTCAGGTCTTGTTCTGCACACTAATGTTTCTGAAGAAGCCAGTGAGGTAGGAATGACTATTTCATTACCCTTATTTTGCTGTATGGAAACCAAGGCACAGAGAGGTTAAATAACTTGCTAAAGGTTACACAGCTAGAAAATTATTGGGCTGGATTTTTACCGTAGCTAGTCTGGCTCAGAGTCAAGCTCATAACCTCTACACCAGTACCTGTTTGTGACTCAAGAGAACATGTGGTGGGGCATCATTCCCAACTTTGTGAGGTGCTCCTGATGGCAACAACCTCTGATGTTTCCTGCAGTGAGGACGGAATCTGTTTTAATATTTCAGATTTTGCCATATCCCTGTAGTTGTTTCATAAATATTTGGACGTATTTTCTTGGGGTGTATTTTTTAACTTAAGGACTTTTTTTCTGTCAATAAACAAATTTCTAACTAATGAATTCACGTTTCTGTTTATTCTCTTTATCATTAAGGGAGAAATTTGGGGATGAGTAGCCTTAAAACACCTATGAACTATTTTTTTCACCAGATTTGGGTAGAAAGTATTGTTAGTGGGGGTTTTTTGCTTGTTTTATTTTTTGAAAGTATGGCTATTTTTTAAACATGAAAGTCTAGCTTTTGATCCAAAGATTCTACAAAAGAATTTTGGAGCCTTCTGTGTACTCCTGGTGGGGCGAGGAGGGTGAGGTGGGGGTGGGTTGGGTAAGTACCAATATTTGTATAAACCCCAGTCTCATCAGTTAACCTTACTCCATGGGGTTGATTAAATGTCCTGAATTTACAATGTCATTTTCATAAAACAGTCAATAACCAACCAACTTTGATATTGCCAAAGGAGCTTGACAATGTGTGCAGGAGAAAGCATCTGTTTTTTTTTTTTTCCAACGTTTATTTATTTTTGAGACAGAGAGAGACAGAGCATGAACGGGGGAGGGGCAGAGAGAGAGGGAGACACAGAATCCGAAGCAGGTTCCAGGCTCCGAGCTGTCAGCACAGAGCCTGACGCAGGGCTTGAATTCACGGACCGTGAGATCAGGACCTGAGAAGTCAGAAGCTTAACCGACTGAGCCCCCCAGGCGCCCCTAAAGTGTCTGTTTTAAATACGAATGTAACAGCTAATGGTCTTTCCTTTGTGGATGTTTGGAAT